TTATGTAATATTAAGAATTATCATGCAATGTTCCATCGTCACGAAATCCGTGACAAGGAAAAACCCATTAGTTCCATTGTCACAAAATCCGTGACAAGCAAAAACCCATTTGTTCCATTGTCACGAAATCCATGACAAGCAAAAACCCATTTGTTCCATTGTCACAAAATATGTGACAATTAATAACACTTTCTTGGCAATTTTTAATGATGTTCATATAAATGGGCTGATTAATTTCTGAAAAAATGTCATTATAACACTCTTAAAATTTAACACTTTCACCAACCTTGCTAATTCAGCTAATATTATTACACACACTATAAGTATTCATTTTTTGGAACTAAAAATACCTTTATCTGTGGCGCTGCTGTCTATAGACTTATTTCCTGCCACAATGGCTGAAAAACTCAATTTTGCTTCCATTTCTAGTCTCTCCCTCTTTTCTCTCCTCCACTGGGTGATGGTGCTCTCTGGAGCAGAGAGCAAGATTTCCCGGGACGACTTCCCACTTACTCCACTAGCAAAGCGAGCTGATAAAGAGACAAAATGATACGTTAACAATATAAGCATGAATGTACACACATGACTACAAAATGGGTAGGTATTAATATGGTACAATGTAGTATTACAATCAGATGGAATCTTGATTAAAATAGTGAATTGCATTTACACATAGCTGGTTATCGGGGTCGTTAATTCAGTTTTAAATGATAATAGTTATATTTAATTAATGTACCAATTTCAAGCATTTCTCGCAGTGTCATTGTAGCTCTCAGCTGAGCTGGAGTGAGACTCCTTAATATCATCTCTTCTTTCTTTTCCTTTTCTTGCTCAAGTACTGCCATTGCTAAAAGAAAAATGACAATCATACTTATTACTTAAACTGCACAGTACAGCTTAAATGTATGTGTATAATATTATGTATATATTAAGTATTGGTATTACTTTTATTGATGACTATTGTTTTGATTCTTGACATTAATTTCAGGAGATCCCTATAAGCTCTCTTCCAGTCTATCACAACGCGTGGCCTTGGAGTAGAGCCATCAATATAGTTTCTAACAGCTTCAATGGATCTCACCAGGTTACCAATATTCTCCCTATAGCCTAGTGCAGCAACTTGAC